GAAGGCCTTGATTCGGTTATGTCCAATATGTGTTCCTCTGTGCTTGGAACCCGAACATCTATCGTCCACTATCTTCCTGGAACCACTCTCTTCGCCCTTTGTTGGCTTTCGTTTGGTTTTTGGAGTTCTTTCAGGTTCTGCTATCTTACTGTAGCTTTTCCCCTGAACTAATCGCATATCCGTAAATTCGTAAAAGGAAATTCAAAGTAAGTCACAGTTTGACAAATTATTGTTAAGATCGACAAAAAAAAAATTCGTGATTTGAAGCAAAGATCGTAATTTTCTAATGCTTAAGTATTCCAATATGCTACCCATTAAAGATGGAATCATTGCAAAATAATGCTTAATAACAAAGTTAAAATTCGATCTTCAACTGTTAATATCTTCTAGAAATTTTGGGGAAAAAAATTTTCAATATTTTTGTCGTACTCCTAAAGGGAGCCTCTATCACCCCTTAAAAGGAGTGACGCCAATTTTGAATCACCCTGTAGAGATCAAGCGTTATATGCAACACATAACACTTTTCTCTAAGTTATTTGCGACTTATCTCGATGGAAAATTCTAGAGACTGTAGAAAGTTAAAGAGAAATATGGAATTTAGTACAAAGGAAAGAAAATCCACAGGTCAGTTATAAAATATCGGGAAATAAAAGTGGCAAAATAGATCTCACGATGATGGACGTCAATAGATAAGTGGCGCTTCAAGGAACATATTTTCCATTGGGAAAACAAACTTATCGATTACAGTAATATATTTGTGACCAGTTTGAACCCCTTACGATTCGAACCACTCTTAAGTCCGAACGTCACAATTGCATAAAATGATATCCATAATCGGGGCAACCTCATATATATAATGCGAAATACTTGCTTCTACTTAGCAACACATCACCATGTTAAGTTGTTTTTGATCCGAAAACGTGTTTTCCATTACGGAAAATATTACCGCAAAAAGTTCATTTTCTAGAAAATGAAAATATTGTGACCTGTTTGAGTCTACCCCAATCCCTATCAACATTTGATATTAATATTGCAAAGGCCTAATATGACAAAAATAAAGATGCCAGAAAAAGATAAAACTGTGAATATAGATAATGTTTTAATCCATGCACTTAGGCTGGGGTAAATTCCCTGGCAAAGCCACCGGTTTATTGATGACCATAATGACAGACAGACGTCCTCTTTGCTGATGCTTAGAAAGAAGAAGATACTCCCATCGCCATGGGGCGCCTCCATGCTAACGATAATGGCGCTCGCCATCCCCTTCACATCATTTGTCCACGTCCGGCACAAAACCAACACGATAAATGCTTCGTTACTGATATGAGATAAGAATATTATATCTGACATGCTTACAAGAAAATAAATAATATATTAATTTTTAAGTTGATATATAGAAAGCAGAGGATTAAAGCCGTTCAATTTTTTTACAGAACAAAAAATACGTACAATTCGAAAATGTTCGTAGATGTTATGAACGTGAAATTAATTCAAGTTTAAGAATAATGGAAAATAATAAAAAACAACAAATATTTAGTAAGACGCCTTTAATGGATTGTGCTATTCCGTCTGGATAACGCGTTCTTTGACAATTGAAAATACTGTTAATTCATGTTGCTATAAGTAGAGTTAATTAAAATATGTCTTTAAAAAGATATGTTCTTATGTGGTAATGTCTCCTATTGGTATTATACAGTGTGAAGCCTTGACAAATTGGTTAGGGTCAGATACAAAAGCAAGGAAGATATTGGATTGATATAAGTAACCAGAGACAAAGCTTTAGATTATTAAAAACTGCAAACATACTGCAAGTTTTGATGAAGATTGATTTCAAAAATTTCAGTTCATAGAAATCCAGTTCAAAAAAATATTTGTGACATTTATTGAACATTCAGAATTGGCAAAATAGGTAAAATGCAGTACAATAGAGATAAAGTTGCCTCTAGGTTTAACCGTTTCCCACATTTTTTCAAATATTGGATTTTTCGGGTTTGTAGGCCGTCGTTGGGTAGAATTTTATTCTGTTTTGCTGCTTAAAAGAAAGCCTCATATCAACCGTAAGATGTTCAAATCATATATCTAAACTAATCTAACACTAAACTGACCCAAACTAATGTGTTAGTTTCCAGCTTCCAGCGTCATTTTTCTGTTTAAAGTTCAGTAGTGTTCATGAGTTTTAATTTCCAGGCTGTTTATGTGATTTTAGTATAAAAATAGTACCGACTAAAGGAATGTGTCATAAAATATTAAATGTTTCCCTCATTCAAAATAATATGTAAAATTTTGGGCCTCTTGCAAAAGGTAAAATTGAAATAAGAATAAAGATGAAAAGAATACAAAATTCCAATAGAAACTAAATTCCAGATTCAATTGAAATTTGGTGATATTGATTAATTCCCATACGACATTCCGATAGTCTAGCTATTAAACCATAACTATAACATCATCAATAAGGAATAATCTGAACCTCCCCTATAACCGATCTATTTCTCTGGTCTAGCGAAAAATTGTCTAATGTAGCCTTTAATCGAAAATCGATAAAATCAATTTATTTCCCATCGTATCGGCGTGTCGCTCTGTCCCTTCCGTTTGAAAACAGCAGAACTATGGTTTGGTGATAACATGAATAACCGTCTTGTAGACAGGATTAAACTTTATATAAAAGAAGATAAGAGTTTGCTGCAATGAACACCTACTACTAACTTTCTTAACTTTGTATTTTACTATACTATAAAATATGTAATATTTGAATTAATTGGACTTAATTTTTTTGAGTTTTGATGAATTAATTTGAATTAATTGCTCAAAATATTGAGCTCCAAGCAACCCTAAATGGGAGTATGAAATAGAGGTAAAAAAATTAACCTGAGGTCAGTTTTAAAACAAATTATATGCTAAAACAGAAACCAATTGTATAACTGCACTTTTTTCACGATTTTTTAAATATGAAACAATGCTGATGTTCAATTACTTAACTTTTTTTAATTAACCGTTTTTACGAACTGGGCATGAAAGAAATTTGAGAAGCTTGAAAGCCAACTAAAAAAGTACGTCGAACTTGTATGCAGAATTTCCGAAAAGTTGTCAACTTAAGGGAAAAGTTGTCAACTTAAACTTGCAACATGTACCTTAGCAGACAATTAAAGACCAGATTCTAGAGAGAATCTATAACTATGTGATAGCTAAAGATATTCTCTATTTGGTTTTCAGATTCGACAACAATTTATGAAAACACGTTCGCAAGACCTCAGACCAATTTGTAGCAAATGTCTATGTGTCTTGTCTATATTTTTACATTTAATTTTTGCAATATCTGCAATTCTCCAACTTGCGAGTGACAATTTTTAACACTGTTAACATAAACACATGACTACGACTTTCTTAATCTGCAGATATCTTAAAAGTTCAGTTTAAAAAGATGCTTCAAAGTTAAATCGAATGGAGTCATCATGATGTAAACATTATTTTCATTCTAGAATCCTTCTAATCTACACATTTCGGTCGATTGTATCTATGTTTGATATTTGAATTTAAAGCTATTTGTTTTAAACAATTTTTATTCCGTTTTTAATTGTATCTCTGATATAGCTACAATTAATGAGCTTAACCATTACTGTTTTATTATTTTTTTATAAAACACGGTTTGAGTGTGCTGTGATATTACAACGTTTCAAGTCCGCAAAGGCAACTAAGTAATACAGTCATTTAGCTTTTATAAACTTAATTATAACTATTAACATTTTTATAAGCTCCATTTTTTAATACTGAGAAAAACATCAAGCAAAAAAAAACAACTTGCCATACAAAGTTTAAAGCTTATTAATCGCCTAAAGTAGTGCAACAGAAAATTATTAAAAAGTAGATTAAAAACGGATTTCATGTCTCATATGTATTCAAGTTCGCATGTTTTTGTCATTTCTCATTCATGACATTCATTCGCTCATGCTGCTCATTTTCAAACTATCACACACAGAGCATCAATTTAAAATCCGATTGAAATTTAAAGAAATGGTAGGTATATTAAGAGTTTATTGGCCAATATTTACATGCAGTTAATGAATATACTTTTTTAATTAACTGGCTGTATAAGTTTGTATGTATGTGACATTTCGATATATTATAAAACCACCCATAGTTTCTGTCATCGACCACAATTCCATTGTCGACAAATTAATACGGAATTTCACGGTTTCGTCCAACAAAAGCCAATTATGTCGGTGTAGTTTCAGACAATGAGCAGCGTTTTGCCCAATTTCATCGTAGATACTTCATTATACCCAGAGGCGGAACTTATACGGAAGACTAATCTGACGGTAGCAAAACCTTATAGCAGATTGGGATTTGCTTCTGAAACTCAATCTTCTGCTAAATCGAAGAAGAACAAACGAAAAAATTTGTAAGCTAGAGAAGTAATTATTTTGCAATCGGCATCATCATATCATGTAAAAAAATCGTTTCCTGTTAATTTTTCCCTGATATTGAGCAGCACCGATTATTCCTTCAATATGACAAGAAACAATTGTCGGGGGTAATACCACGAGATCTTTGAAATTACCGATAATTTTTCACCATTGCATGCTTTCCATAATCTCACGAGTCCGAAGGACGACTGAAATTTGCAAGGAAAACATTTTAGAATAAAAAATTATCTGGTTACTTGTAAAGCTCGAGTGGTATTTAGTGAGAGTATTCCCGGAATTAAGTTATATTATATTTTTTTCCGCACAAAAAGACATAAATTGTTTCCAAATGTACCTTACTTTTTGCAGCTTTTGTCGGTTCGCTACTAACCACCATTTCATCAATATGTTCGTCGGGAATATCTCTAAAACGATTCACTTTTATTAATTTTTGAAGATATATTTGACATCAATAACCTTAAATCAATCAGTAGACAGTGATATTTATTAACATTCCATGACGAGGTGAAATTATCGGGGGTAATTGCACAAGTGCTTCAAAATTACCGATAATTTTCCATGAAAGCTTGTTGGCTAAAAACTGCATGAGTTTATTTTCATATTGTGGTGAAAAAGCCCGACTCTGAGTTCGCTGTAAGTTTTTTTTGAAAATTATCGAATTACCATTTATTGATACCTTTTTTGTCCTATGTCCTAAACATTTAATTTCCATTTGATAATTTTCTCATTTCTTCTAGTTTTCAATTAATAATTACGTTGAGAGCTTGCTCGACCTAAATGAAAAAGCTTCTATATTTTAGATTGATTCTTATGTGAAAATGTTCAGAAAATAGAACAAAAAAGTATCTAAATGCTTAACAAAAAAACTTATCTACATGCTGCGGACCTTGTTAGATGTCTGTAGGCCAATCAGAATTTTCTATTCCTCAAAGCTAAATGTGAATTATTATGAATGTTGATGAATACGACACTAATGCACCAACCATTTTAGAATTAATCAAGCAAAGTCTTTTTGTTTAAAGTGTGTTTACAAACACATTTTAAAATATCGGTACTTGCTCTCCTTAATCAGTAGGTATATACATAATCTATTTTGTGTATAAGTAATTTGAATATTCTCGTTAATTTGAAAAAAAAATTTAACTTTGCAGAACGTTTAACAATTAATGTATAAAACACCTGAAACATGCTTTCTCGATGTTTCGCTTGCTCTTGCTACATATACAAGTATCTACTGCGATATAGGATAAAATAACATTTTTTATTTCGTTCTGATAAAATTTACAAGGTCGGATGTCACAGCTCCGGAGTGTGATTGTTGAAGATGCTACAGAATGAAAGAAACGAAAGTGGTATTAGAGAGAACTACCATTAACCAACGAATATGAAGCTCGTGGCCTACTAAATTGGAGACCTTAAAAACTCCGTTTTTAATTTTTTTCCAAACAAACAAACCGATTTTTGTTTGTTCTAACACAACGTTCGTTGCTTGACTGTTGAATTTTCAATGATTATCAAGGAACGGACACTGTAATTTAAATAAATATATATGATATGTATATTTGTCCATAACAAACATGCTTTTAGACCAGTACGCTCCAGTTTATGTAAATTGATGGTAGGCTGTTGTTGATACTTTTACTGGAAGTATCGAAAAGTTTTAATTTCAAATATTTAAAATAAATCTAATTTTTGAAATTTTCGTTTTTACAAAATTTTCATTTTAAGAAACCAAGTAATTAAAGAACGCAAACATTAAACAGCTTTTGGCAGTTCAGAACTTTGGTTTAGGTATGTTAAGACTAAAATCTTTCAGATGAATGAATTCATTTGCCTCGAACAGTAACAGTAAAATCCCTTCCCCAATGAGAAGTACTTTAACAAAGTAATTATTTACTTCTTGACCACTCCTATTCATATTTAAATGACCAATGGTGAGAGACAATTACCATTAGAAAACTATCCAGCCATTCGCCAATCAGGCTTAAACAATTATTAATTGCTGATTACGTAGTAACAAATGCTTCTAGGTAAAATATCATTAATTGCTCAATGCTTGAGAAAGCTTCATTGCACACCATTAGACTTGATTTGCATGTCATTTGGCTCGCGGTTCAATTAAAACATCAGAACCTACACTGCGGTAAAGCCGGCAAAGAACTCTTTGAACTAATTAAATCTCGCGTCTTCGTTCACACAAAAATAAAGCCAAATAAAATGATAAATAAGCTTTACGAAGAGGCTATTGACATTTCAGAAAACATCTGCTCCTGATGGATATCTGCAAGCCAGAGTCAGCAAAAGCAAATTGCAATCTACTTAAGTATTATTCTCAACTTGCATCAATATTAATTATTCGGATTTTTCAAAATAAATTAAAGAATTCCGTCTTACCAATATTGTAATTATCTACGTCACTGAAAGCCAAACGCGAACTACCGAACTACCAAACATGACTTGTGTTTTTCGAGATTTTAATTAAAATGGAATCGTCGGCGGCGCTCTACGTAATTACTTTAGGTATTACTTGGTAAGATGATGATGGACTGATACAAAGAATTCCAGAAAATTGCCGTAACAATGAGTACAGGTTATTGCGACTGGTAGATGCAGCGCATTAGAGTCGCCATTGCCATTGGAACCGTAAAAAAAACACACGAACGAGAAGAAAGGTATTGCAAAAAAATTTGGAGCACGAATACAAACCTCAAGTTTATTTAATCCGTTTCGGTTCACCATTTTAATTTAATTATTGATTGTTACTATAATTGTAGACAGATGTTGGGTGAAATTAAGAAAGAACTAATTAAGGTAGGTGTCTTTGAACAGCTATTGAAATAATTTTCATTAGGGTATGCTGCTTTGATTAAGCAACTTAATCAAAGCATAATCAAAATTCACAGAACTACATGCGATTCGTACCGATTGGGACTACATTGGGATCCTACCGAAATGTTTTTTCTAATATCGAAAGTAGGTATTATGGCGACAGAAATGCAATTTTCCCCATGGTATTCTTCCAATTCAGTCGAATTAAAATTTATAAGTAAATCACAAGATGCCGAAAAGCCTGTTTAGTGGTCGAGACTTATATCGTTGAGTCCATTACAAGATTAGTTTTCAAAATTGTTATTGATTAAACTTTCAAAATGAGATGCTACAAAATGAATATCACTCACAGGCAATTACTTCAGAGTAAGTAAAAAGTTAGATTTAAAAACTGTAAAATAGTCTTAATAGCATCTAAGTAGAAGTAAGTCATTAACGCCAAGGCTTCTTTTGCAAAATGTATAACCCTATATATTTTATAGATGTACCTATTAAATATATTTAATATGTCGATGTTATCAGAAACTTTCCATATTAAGCTTCGAATTCCATAAAAGTTTTACGCCGTTGCCAAATTGGTTTCAACAAAACAAGTTCTCCTTCTAGATGTATGATACAGTTTACTGTTTTAACAAGTTTTATTTGTTTTCTCTGAAAAAGCAATCAAATATTACATTTTGTAAAATAATTCGATGAAACTTCAGTTATCTGTGCTTTAGAAAGGTTTTCAAGGGGTCTATTTATAAGTCAAAAAGAAAATATTTCTTTTGTTGTAAAGTAGTAGGTGAATACAACTAAGTTCTTTTATTGGTGTTCTTAATAGTTCATAATTGTACTAACAACGATTTGAACAATATTGTACCGTGGATGGCCGAGCATCAAACTCTTTCTTCAGCTTCCAACTTTTATTCAACTCGGTATCACTTTAAATACGGAACGGGAACAAACTAACTTCAAAATTACCGTCAACTTCACAAACAATGACAATAACCGACGGAAAATTTTGGACCGGAAAGGTCTGGGAAACTTAATTCAATTATAAGTTGCAACATCAATTATTAGTTTCTGATTTCCTTATTTACGTTCTACTTTTGCAACTTTTAAAATATGATCAAATATTAATGGTTTACTGTTGTTCTATTAATACTGTTTATTTGTTTATGTTTTATTTGTTACTGTTTATTTGAAACAATGCCAGAATCAAAATAAGATAAATCTGACAGATGTGTTATTAAGCTGAGACAAACATGTTTTTAGTTAAAAAACGCCATGATGCAAGGTTATAAATAATTCAAGAAATATACTATTCGTACATCAATTTACTTGGATTGTCTGTCTTAGGCGAAAATGGGAAGTTAAAATAAGAATTTCTTTTGTTTTGCAGGCTAACTAATTTGATAGTAAATTTGAATGTCTTGACGCCATTTAATTGATGCTGGTAGACAATTGAAAATACCTATTTTGAAGTTGATATAAGCACCTGTAAATGCGTTTAAAGGTATATGTTTGCTGCAGATATATAGCCAGAATTCAAATATCTAAACGCCGTTAAAATTAGAGTCTGGCTGGCAGTTAAACAATAAAGATCTGCACCTATTGTTTGTCACAAAATTGTTTGAGGCTTATAAGCCGTAGACATTTTTTCCGACGTTTCGATTACATCTGTGGTGAACATGATCGAAAGCAATAAAAAAAAAACGATGTAAATAGTCTTCCGTGTCGCTGTCCGTTTACTGGTTATTTAACAGATGCTGTTGTTGTATTTATACTTAAGTACGCTGGTGGAACATGCGCACGGAAATGTATTAAAAAATGGAACGGTGTGGGGTAATAGGAAGGGAAACAATAGCCTAACTGAAAATCTGAAATAACATTTCCATCTATAATACAAAAATAATCCATGAAATATTAATTAAAAATCAAATATTACACAGTAGAAAGAATATGCACGGAAATCCAAAACACTTACTATAAAGCAAAATAGAGCTTAAATGGAAATTCAATGCATGTAGCTAATAAAGAAATATAATTAGTAAGACATTTATGCTAAAACAAAAGCGCTTGAGAAAAAGTCAAGTTTTCTAACAACGAAGAAATTGGCCAGCTAACAAAAATGTCATCTTATTCCAATCAGATAAATAGTTTGGAAGTTAAATGGAAATGCTTAAATAAGCCCACCTTGAGTATATTTTCGCTGTAAATTCGTCGAAAAAAGTCGATTAAATAAATACTAATATATCGAACAGGCCATACTTATCAATACGGCTTTCAGCCCTAATGTAGACCACCGATATCGCAAATAACTACAGCAGATCAGAATGCGTTTCAAGGCACCAGGTGCCTAAAATGTTAATAATGTGTTAAAATATGATAATCATGATATAAGTAAGAGTAGACATGCAACATGGGTTTTTTGCGATCCGTTTCATTATTCCGAATGGTATTAAATGAAGCTCGTAATGTGCATCAATTTTTTTTAAATACAAAATTGATTTATAAGGCAAATACAAACTAAGCAATATGCGTGCAGGTATATAAAGCAATGAAACATTAGAATTTAGAAAGTATTATACGCATTGAAGATTTTTGCATGAGGTGAATATACTTTTAAATGAAATTGATATATAC